ACCCAACAGGAAACATGATTACAAGCTTTGTAGTTCAATCAAGACCTTGATGCCTCTCTTATTTACATTTGCATTTGAAGTGTGAACTGGGTCAGAGCTCTGAGCTTCAATCGTGTGTTGTTCTTTTTTTTCTTTAGCTTAGCTAAGCATTATTGCTGGAAACAGGGTGAGCAGCTAGCTTGTCCCTGTCCAACGTTAAAGTTAAAGAGAAGTCGTACCTGGCCCTTCTTGTTCTGATAGTTTTTTGTCCATAACTGTCATTTTTAGTTTTCACTGCTGAGTAGACTGCATCTGAATCCGTCTCTGCAGAAGTAAACAATCAGAATTATGTGAAATTACAACAGGTATAACAACTGCACAACTTTTATACTATAGCAGAGCTGTGGGAAACTTTCTACCCTAATGTTGCATCATGAAGAGAATAAGCGACAACTTTAAAAAAAACCACAGCAGCATTTCATACTTTTTTTTTTATCTTAATGCCACTGCTATGAAAAAAAAAGATTGGCCACATGAAGCTGAGGGGTGTTTCTGTGAAAAAGAAAAGCGGACGACCACAAAGCTGCTACTGCTTTCAGTACAGACTGACTTGCTTCACCTCAGCACAAAGCAAACACTTTCTCACAGTATAACCATTATTACTGTCCAAACTAGGACAAACTGCAGTGAGAAGCAGCTTCAGACTACAGTTAACTGGAATCATCAACATGATTAATGCATGTGCTCAACGTGTCAGGATGGTACAGAAACTACTAAATTATCAACGTTATAGACGTCAGATTTTTTATAGAGACTGGGAAATGCTTTTAAATTAATTTTAAAATGAACAGCTCTGTGTTGAAACACCTGCAGCTGAAGTGTTTTCTTTCTATCAGAAACAGGATGCTGGACGAGTGCAGAGCTGTTAGCTTCAGTTAACCACAGACCACAAACACACAGTCCAGCTCACAGTGAACAACACTCACAGTGTGACACTTAAGGCAATTAGACCTGACTAAGCTGACCTATTTTCAGACAAAGGAAACAAGTTCATAACTACACTTAGCAAGTTTTGTTTGCTTGTTTTACTGTTACAACAGTCCACATTTTTAAACTTCTGAACTTCCCTCATATGTCCCATCATCAAGATTAAGCAACAGTGCTAATCTTATTCTACCTTCATATTCAACTGTGTGCCTGACACATTTGAAGAGGAAAAAATCAGAGATGTTATTCATCGTCCAAACTATGATCAAAACACACATTCTCAAACATTTCCAGTTCCTTAACTATCTTCGCTCCTACTTTCCATAAATTTGTTCACATTATAAAGCTGCATGGAAGTCCTTCTAAAAGGAAATCTACCCACTCAGTGGCCTTCCTGGCAATGCCTCCTAACAGATATTTGGGCAGTTTTATTAAAATCTATGACCAAATAGATAGGAAATGCCATTTAAGCCACAAGGTCACCAGCATGTGAGAAACTGTGTGTGTAAAATCACAAGTCGAATCTGATGAAACCTGCTTAAAAACCTGGGTCTAGGGGTCTCAAAAAAACTAAACGTAGAATCTATCTTGACTAGTTCAAACAGAATGAACTCTGGAACCAATTCAAATAACACATGTCCTGGCACTTTGTCTCTAAATTTGGGCCAATTGTTTAGAAAGATTTGTGTCACATTCAGACCTAAAATCAGCAGTTAACCAAACATCACAACTGACTCGAACCACTGCACCACTGTGACGTGTGTACTATTAGATATGATTTAAAAAATAAGTTCTCACCACTTTTTCAGCAAATGTGCTGTTGTGCCATTTTAGAATATAATTTACAGATCTTTATATATTGTTTTTGTTAATAATTGAATAGAACAAAAAGTTTTGTTGGTGAATTTGATTCAGGTGACACAGGTCGGACTAATTATGTTGACTCTAAGATTATATTCTAAAAAACAACACTTAAAGTTATTGTTTGATAGTGTGCATTGAATGTTCTAAGCATATATAAAACACTACTTTTCACTACTTTTACACAGTAAAGTCATGTGTCCACTGTGCAGCTGTGTTGATATAATGAGTGAATGATTTGATCTTTTCACTGCCTGCTGTGTTTCCTCGACTCCTGAGCAAAGATAAAGAGTCAGTTCAGACCTGCAGTTGGTCCTCGTGGTGTTTGAACTTGAATTCAGCCTGATTTGTTTTTCATGTCTTCTCCTCCATCATCAGTTATCAGGAGAGCAGACAGTCAAAGTACAAGAATTCAAACAAACACAGAGATTCTACTTACAGAGCAGACACAGCACAGATGTTTCCTTCATCGTCCTTCTCACTCATTTGAGCTTTTTCATTTCTGTCACTGACACCAAGTAAAGCCCGCCCTCTTCCTCTGAGTCTGTGTTTCTTTTGTTCAAACAGGGTTGTACTAATTTCTTGTTAAGATGCCTATGCTAAATTATATTAAAATATAAACTCAATGTCAGTGTCAAAGATTCCCTCAGTCTGGTGTTGATGAGCTGTGATTCCGTTAATGAACAAATTCAAATAACCGTTAAGTGGTTCATTCAATTTTATAATGTCTTAGTGGTTAAAGCTTTCTTTTGGGTGTCATGTTTTTAGTATTTTTGGTTGTGAAGCACTTTTTAATATTTCCCTTTAAAGGGACTGTATGAATAAAATCTTGCTTACCTCACTGATGAGTATGATGTGAAACACAGGAATCAAACCAGGGACGCTGCTGTTATGGAGCTGAACTGGAACCATTCAGACACTGAGGCCCTCTGAACACATTACAGCTGTGCAGAGACACACTGATGACTGACTGGAACACTATGATTCACAGATTATTGAAATGCTACCCTTCAATGTTGCCACTTGAGCGAGATATTTGACTTTAAATCTTGACATGGATACAAGCAGATCATCAGTGAGAGTCACTTAATATTAAAATTAGTACCATCCATTCGCTTCCGCTTATCCTTTTCAGGGTCGCGGGGGGCGCTGGAGCCTATCCCAGCTGTCATAGGGCGAGAGGCGGGGTACACCCTGGACAGGTCGCCAGTCTGTCGCAGGGCCAACACACAGGGACAGACAACCATTCACACTCACATTCACTCGCACATTCACACCTAGTGGCAATTTGGATTATCCAATTAACCTATCCCCACAAGCTGCATGTCTTTGGACGGTGGGAGGAAGCCGGAGTACCCGGAGAGAACCCACGCAAACACGGGGAGAACATGCAAACTCCACACAGAAAGACCCCGGCCTGATGGTGGAATTGAACTCAGGACCTTCTTGCTGTGCGGCAACAGTGCTAACCACCGTGCCACCGTGTTAAATTAGTACCATCAGCGTTAATCTTATTAAAAGGACGTTAATATCATAACCGTATTAAAGCAGCAAATCTCAGTTAGCTAGCTATTGGAACCATTGGAACCATTGGAAGGATATTTAAATTCATGACTGCACTTTCAGACTAAAGATATGAACATTAATACCTATGTTTTATCGTCTTTCAAAGAGTAATATTTCTACATTATCGAAGCAAGAAGAAACAATATAGAGCAACATCATTACATGAGTTTGTGATGCAGCTTTTGCGAGCACTGTTGCATTAAGCCTACAAAGTTCTGGGTTCTAACTTCCTTCAGCTGCTATCATGGGATTGTGTGTTCTCCCACAGTTTAAAAAGATATGCTGTGTGGAAATTAACTGAAAATCTTCCACAGTTTTTACATGAAAAGCTGACATCAACAATACTGTATTATTCATATTAATGTTTTCAACTGGTGGATGTTAAGAGGTTATATTGCTGGCATTTGCAAAGCAGCTGCCCTGCTGTAATGCTCAGTGTTGCCAGTAGGTAGAAGCAGACTTCAACTCTGAGTCATGTCCCTTTGCAAATTCACTGAGAAGTTTGAAAGGAGGAGCTCTGTGCTGTGATCCAGAACGAAGTCCAGCCTGGGTTATAGGTTTGAAGGTTTTCATACAATAAAACACTTCTTTGTCTTCATGGTGAAGTCCTGAGTGTGGTACTACACACTCAGGTTGATTTGAGGTGAACATAAAGAACAACTCCACACAAACAGCTGACAAACACACAAACTCTTATCTCCGATATATGTGCTCATTTTCAGCTAAAGCTAAAAGAAAAATCCAAAACAAAACAAAAAGGAAAAACAGCAGATCAATTTGGACTTCATGCACTTCTACTCTAATATGTATCTCAAAAAACAGCTTGTAGTACAATCTACAGGGTGGGCCATTTATATGGATACACCGTAATAACATGGGAATGGTTGGTGATATTAAAGTCCTGTTTGTGGCACATTAGTATATGTGAGGGGACAAACTCCTCAAGATGGGTGGTGACTATGGTGGCCATTCAGAAGTCGGCCATCTTGGATACAACTTTTGTTTTTTCAATAGGAAGAGGGCCATGTGACACATCAAACTTATTGGTAATGTCACGTCACATTCTGGGTGGTAACCTGCATGTGCGGCCATATTGGAGGCACTCGGAGGTAAACACTGCAATGGATCAATGTCCGAAACCACAGAAAAGCTCCTCAAAATGCGTTATGGATGCAAAGGTATACAGGGAAGGACTTGGTCCACAGGTAAGGGCACGATATTTGGAAAAGTTAGGTTTTATTGGTGTGCAGATCCAAACGAGTTGGCTCCTTCATCTTGGATCAATGACGAGCCGGAGAGTCTTCCGTCTATTGCGTATCTTGATATCAACTACCTGGTTTTCTTGCCCAGAAGACAGCAGACCTTAAATCTTATAAAAGTTTGGAGGCCTATAACCAGATGGTGTGTGGATGGGTGAGGGAGATGCAGTATCAAGTCATTAGCGACAGATGTGTTGTGAATGCCAAAGTAAGTAACGCAATAACATCTTTAATCAGCCAAACCTTAACTGTATGATATCATCCCTTACCAAAAAGTAGCATACTTCGAGTATATTTTATTAAGTATGCTTAACTAT